CTCCCTCTATTCTTGTATGTAAGTGCGCCAGATAAAGCGAAATTAATTAATCAGAATAGAATTGCAGACAGACAGAGACGGACGATTGAGTCAAGCGCGGTAAAGACCGTAAGAAAAGTGCGTGAATCGTTGTGAATTATAGCGTGTGTTAAAGTTAAAGTGACTGTGGAAATTAAGTGTATTATAAAGTTGTATTGAGAAAGAATAAACTAGTTTTATTTAAGAAAGGACTTGTATCGCTAAAGTATAAAGAAATTATACGGGAATTTAACAAACGAACAATACTAATAGTGAACTACAGTAATGAAATAGGAATAGTAATAATAGTTATTCGCAAGATATTCCATGTTGTCGTGCCACAAAGTGTTTGTAAAGGCTATATTATTAACGTAATTTTTAATCCTAAATTTAAAAAAAGAGAAGCATTAAAACATCTTTTTTGTATTTAAAGTAAAAACTTTACATCTTTGGCCATTTACCTTTGTAGTGATGTCTTACCCTGGTTACAAATGACGTATGATTTAGTAGGTCTAGTTTGTAGAATCATGAAGAATAAATTGAGACCTTTTTACGTGTTTTAAGATGTTAATAGTACTTTTGACATATAATCTAATTTTATATCAGAGTCTCCAGTGCATTTATAAATGTTGGCATTATTTTATATTTATATGTAAGGAATACAGTCGGAAAAATGGTCTGAAGTTTCAGGAAGATAAAAGAATAGTATTTTCTAATTGGAACAAAAAAATTATGGACGACGTGGCAGAGGGTAGTGCAGTGTTTCTTGGAGATCAGTTCATCATTTCTAATCATATCGTAAAAGAAAACCAACAAACGGGTGTTTGCCGAAATACTATCATCCCTCAGCCTGTCATTGAGTCAATCATGAGCGTGGCCGTGAGGAAGGGAAATGCTCACAAACCAGTATTGAACAAATAGTAAGATATTATTTTCCCTTAAATATATATAATATAATGTCCTTCTAAGTAATAAAAAATGAGTCTTACTGCTTTCAACATTCTTGAAATATTATTTTATTATCCAGCGTTTTGGTCATAGGTAAAATTCAGGCATTAGATGTTTAACAGACTGTTAAAAACACCTAGTACTTATGTGAACCTTGTCCGGATTGCTGCACACACACACAAAGCTTAAAATATTGTTGAAGACTTAAACAGATTATTTTAGATATTTTCAGAGAAATGATTTACGTTCTTAAGAACGCTTTAGTAAAAGTTGCGAATGGTTTACAAGTTAAAACAAACTTTAGATGACGTATTTGGCAACCTTTTACCATTATCAAAAACTAAGCAAATAAATACAATATTTGTAACAGTTTTAGGGAAGGGTAATTTTCCTCTGGACCTAAGTTTGATAACAAAATATTTGTAACTAGTGGAAAACTCGTACTTCGTGTACGAAACATTTTGTTGTATTTTGTACTCAAATGCACATTTAAAAAAAAAACAGTAAGGTAGTGCTGTGTATCTAAAGCAATTAAAACAGTTGAGTGACCTACCTAGACTACTCGCGTATCAGGTTAGGTACCTAGAATTCTGAACGAATCTGATGGCCGTGCGGGGCGTCCAAATGACTGCGAGGTTAAACTTAAATGGGTTAAACCTGTACCACAACACGTAAATCCCTCCAAACACCTATAGTACAAAAGACAGTTTGAACCGAATGGTCTGATCGACTTATCTAGTAAGACACCAAATCTAGCGGCGCTTTCAAAACCTGGGTATTGAGGACAAGTATTAAAACTCAACAGGGTGACGGTATCGATACTCTAAGCGTCAAAAACAAATGAAGAAATTCACACACACACACAGTACCTTAACACATAAACACTGTTATCTGAGATGGAGCTCTAATTGATGACAGATTCATTCCCAAATATCTTTCCGTTTTGCAATGTACAGTAATACCTGCACCCATTTGTCCAGATTTTAATCAAGTTTAAAAAACTTCCCACTCACGTGCACACCTTACTCTTTTAATTACACAGATAGTTTCATGGGGTGCATTTTATTATGTTCTTCAGTTTGATAATATGATTTATATCACACATGAATAGACAATAGCAAAGAAGTTTATAATTTAATTTTTAATTTTATTTTGCAGAATGAAATATATTAACCGTGCTGTGAAACAGCACTAATACATTATATCCGCGGCATAGCGGCTCAGAATGGCTCTGGGTTTTTATCAAGTACAGACGTTTATCTCATACATTGCCCCATCAACTCTTGGCCGATTTGAGATGTAATTAAAGTTTACCACTATTAAGGTCAAACCCTTTAGATTGATGTATTTGGCCACGCCCAAGGTCTCAAGATTAATTTACTCTAATCCCGCCTAAAATAATTTCAATATGAGGGTAGGATGGTAGAGGTCTTGATGAGTAATAAAATAGAATTGGGTATATGGTGATATGGATAATTTGTTATTTGGAACTTTCAGTTTGAACAGCACCTTCTGCGATACTTAGGTTTGTTGAGCAGATTAAAGATTCCAGGTTCGGGCAGACTCGCCCCCCCCCATATAGAACCCCCCCCCCCCCATATCAGAGAGGAGCAAACGAGTGGAAAAGTGGGATTCACTGATACTTTCACAACACCCTAACAACTAAAAGTGCGAAGCGTGTTCAGTAGCTTTTCGCGCGCTCGAGCCCAGTAACTTCCAGTCCTAATGTGAATCACATATACTTTCGAAATCATAACAAATCTTAAAATCTTTTAAGTCTAAATCATTACTAATTTGGTAAAGTGATATTTATAAATTTGTTTTTATATTTGTAATCTTTATTATTATTAAAGAAACACCTTGTGGAGTTTCCAAGAT